CCATGCCTCTGGCAATATGGCCCCAGAACGGCCAAGGTTTGCCCCAAATGGTGTGCATAAATTCTCAAGCGATGGAAAGAGTTTATCGTGATGCTAGAACGTTTTCAGAATAAGAAAATTAAGTGAAGAAGGAGCAGCAAAATGGTAGAGGTGAGCTCCGTGCAGCTGCGACGGGAGATGCACAAAAACGGTCATGTTGCATGTGTCACCGGTACGTAGACAACTGCGCCATATGTCGAAATGTCAACCGCGCCCTTGACTCTCCAGAGCTGAGCTTGCCCCACGTGTCTGCGCCTTTCAATCTCAACATGCTCAAAATCCATCGGCGTTACAAGGGAAAGGAATACTCATTGAGGGTTTTAGCTTGGTCAGCAAACATTGCGTGCTTCTGGATTTCCAAACGTTCCCCGACACAATATTTCAGCCTGAGTACCATGTTCTACGAAACCCTAGGATTGGGAAGCTCTGGGCATATCGAGCAGACATGGTAACAGCAGCTCGACTCCCGAGACGACCAGCTCAAGTGGCCAGACCTGAATGCACCAGCCACCTACTGCCTATTTGTGCTTGAGTACCTGCTCCAGCAACGATGAAGAGTTAAGTACCCTCTTGGCGCCGGCTTGTTGCTCGGTTGAGCAACTGGGCCGCTTCACGGGATGGCAGGGTTGCATCAAGATCGACTCCATCCCCAGATCCATCTCTCCCCCTTGATTCCCCGGAGTCTATCCCGAGACAGTGTCATCCCTTGTGGAGACAAGTGTATCCTCGCCGGATGTGAACAATGGAGAACTCCAAGTGCTTAGAGGCATCTCGGTTGCAATCACGTGTATGCGGGCGACCCCCCCCCCCCCCCCCCCCCCCTCTCTCTCTCTCTCCACTAAAGTCTATTCCAGACTGCTTTAAAGTGACTCCAAGCTCTCTCAGGGGGGATATCTTTTGCTCAAAAAGCTTCACTTCTTGGTCGTATGAAGAGGAATTGCGAATTGCTATTGGCGAACCCACTTCTAGGGCCTGGAAATTTCTCACAGCCGTGGCCACTTTCCGCAACCTCTGAACTACTACTATAAGTAGTGGGATGAGAATACGGGGTCTGAAATGATGAAGGCTTCAATATGAAGAGATAGCTATATAAAATTACCCGAGCCCCTTGAATTCTGTGGTGCCAGACGGAATCGGTTCAAGGGTTCCAGAAGCTTGGATCCCGTTTTTATCTATGTTATACAACACCCAGGCCAAGGCCACGACATTCCGTTCCATTAAGTCAGTTTTATATTTTTGGCATTGCCTGGTGGTATTTCTCACAACCTAGCTTGCGAAATTTTAGTGACAAAGGGGCCCAGAGTCAAGGTACCCTATCCAAGAGTCTTCCTAAACATATCAATACTTGCCCCCCCCCCCCCCAAATGATGACTCTCCATATTCCTTACTGAGTATGCCTCTCTACCATTACTCTCACATCACCAACTGATGCCCTTGCCATCTTTTTCAAAAGCGTTCTCTCGTCCGCTTCTCGAAAGTTGCCCCAAGTATCCAGGCCTTCCTTCGCCTGTATGCTCAGCGTCTCATACCCCTGTTTAATGACTTCTGTGACCTGATGTGTCGTGAGACGGCTCGGTTTCTTTTTGGAGGAGCCAGCTCCCCCAGCAAGCAGTTGATTGTAATGGGTACTGACACTAATCAATGTGTCAATTGAATTGCTCTTGCGATCCTCAAGACCATAGTTTTCTTTGAACTTGGTCAGCACTTCACCGGATTCAACCACTTTGTAAAACAGGTCGTCATAAGCGGCAGGCGTTGGCAAGAATGCTTCGCCTGCAGACAGAGAGAGTGCTAGCAGGTTGACAACATGGTCTAGGAGTGTGTTGATATGAGTTATGTCCTTCAGGTCCGATGTGTAGGTTGCCAAAAAGCGGACCAGTGATAGTAGAGATCTGAAGAATTCTGACCAATGATAGACCAGGCGCGTTCTTGAGCGAGAAAGGTAAGAAATAATGCGTAATAATATTCCCAGACACAATGTGTAGAGGCTAACGTCCAGTCGCCGACGAAGATTATGGTTGATCCCATCGATCATGCAGTCAAGGACACTGGCTGCGAGGACTCGCTCTCCTTTCACAAGCGGCAAGAACGGTTGCCGATGTCGACACAGTCGAACAGAAGCTTTTACTTCGTCGCTGCAAAGTTTTTTACAAACAATTGAATCTTCAATCAGTAAGCGAAATACCATGAGGTTCAGGTGCGCGTAGTAGGTAGCCCGGTGGGAAAGATGAGCGTGTTGGAGCAGATAAGACGTAAGCGACAAGTAGCTTGCAATGGGTCGTTCACCGTCATTCTCTCCTGGAAGCGACACAAAGTTGAAGCAGAAAAGCTTATTGGCATGTGCAAAATCATAGGATGCGAGAAGGGCGGCCGCGCTCTCGCCAGGCCTACAAAAATTAGTCTCATGATGTGGACAGCAGAACACGTGCAGGCGTACAGGTTGGAGAACAGCTGTTTCGCTGTTTCGGCGTCGTAGACTGGCTTCTTTTCTGGCTTTGAGCCACGAATTATCAGACCAAAACCAATCAGGTTCAGTGTATTGCTAAATGTCCAGCCTTCTGGCAAGTCGTCTTGAACGTCGATGTAGTCTAGCCGTAGAGCTTGGCAAGTGTAACCGATGCATCGGATGGTTTTTTGAATGGTTTCTTCGTTGACGAAATCGTTGAACCTGAGCTGGTATGGATTTTGGAACTCAAATTTGTTGTAGTTTGCCAATAGACCCAACAGAATAAACGGCTCCAGGACTTGTCCTGGAGTCTCTGAGTCTTGCACAAACTATCCCATGTTCCATAGTCAGAAATTTTGGGGACCAACACTCTAGAAGTCTCACATAATTTACCTTCATGACGGCTGGGAATAAATCCCTTTGTATCATATACGTGAGAAGACTTGTTTGGTATGCGCCTGCGGTTACGGCAAGCAGTACTTCGATAGCTTTGTGGCGTACAGTAACTGCTCTGCAGGGTCAGCCCGTGGCCACGACTAGGTTGTACTCGTCATTCTTACGGTTTTCTCCATTGCGAACTATTGCATCTAGTGTGCTTACAAAGTCTGTGAAAACAGCGTCGATATGGTCGAGACCAGCAAGAATGGCGATGATGTCGGAGCTAGGATGAGGGTATTTCTTGGAGAGGAGACACGAGAGAAAGATGCCCAAGGTCTGTCAAAAGTTAGAACCATGCGTTGTGCATTGTCAATATAGTGTCGTACGTCTAATGCGTGCAGAGGAGCAAGGCCTTGGCCTGTTTTCACAGTGACTGTGGCCTTTCCAAAAAGCTCCCTCGTTCGGCCTTCGTATGTTAACACGTCGGCGGGTGACATGTCGTTCAGCAAGGCTCGCAGGCTCTGGCGGTCTGGTCGCAGTAGAAAGAATTCTGCCCAGAAGCCGTCCGACTTTTCTTCGGTGTCGTCATCCTCCTGGCAGAGTCTCTGGGTCAGTCCAAGGAGCTGAGTTGCAAGCAGATGTAATTGTGCTGTTGTACCTTGAATGCAGCAGTCAGCATCAGACGGCCGCGCAAAGAGGGAGTTGCGTCAAACCTTGAATAGAGCTGAGTATAACTCTACAATTTTGGGCGTAAATACCTCTGGCGGAGGCTGGCGAGTAAGTGGCGATGCCTCCATGGGAAAACCGGCGTCCAGAGGACAATATTGAATGCGACCGATGAGCTTCGGATGTTCAATGGTGGTGGATAGCAGCCAGCTATTTAACTTACTGGAGTACCCAATCTAGGTACAGAGTAACTACGTGGGGTTGCTGCAAAATAGGAGTGGAGGCTGTCCAGCCAAGACGACTCCATAATCTAACTAATTAACTGTCTGGAGTTGCCTGGCTACCGTTGGTGGCGCCACCAGTCACTTGAAAGGCCAATAGAAGAGTGCAAGTACAAGCAAGGGTAAAATTTGTACTCCGTATGGCAGTCAGAAGCATTTGGCAAAACGATTAGTGCCGCAACGAAAACCAATTCCATTCACTACCAACTGAAGCAGACAGGCACAGTTACTACATGGAGAATCAAACTACTGCGAGCATTTTGAAAGGGCCGGGAGAAATGTTCAAGTTCTGTTCCATTTTCGGCCATCGGTTCTGCCAATCCTTGCGCATTCCTCTTTCATCATCGTTCAAGCTAGATACATATACAAAGGAGTCTACCTTTTTTTCTTGGGAAACAAAACCAGTCCGCGCAGAGCACACAATCATTTTCTCCCGGGAGCTTTCGTCCAGTCCAATCCCGCTCCTATTCCTAGAGTATGACCAGAAGACCTTGGCGTTTAAAAATCGAACGAACCAGCATTGTGCTTGCAATCCTTCAACGCCGAGCTCACGTGTCTGAATAAAAAAGAACTATTTTCATCCCACCTATAGCCAGAAACGGTGCAAGAATCTCATCGTCTTCCCCAAGTCGACCTAAAATCGAGGCCCATTTTCCGTTCGTCGAGTCAGCAAATAATACACTGCGCTGCAGCACCTTTGCTAGTCAAAATTGACCCATCAGGGTCCATGCCATGCTGAGGTTGCAGCAGGATGCAGAGTCATGAACCGCCCATGCCAAATAAAAAAAATCCTTCTGGTATATCGAGCCTTCACGCCCATAACTGTGCAGCCGCAAATCATGAGGGTTGCCAGAAGCCCAAAACAAATAACGCCACTATGATGAACGAAGAAAAAGTGAATCAAATAGGTGCTATGCGCCGATGTAGGCTATAATTGAAGCACCAGGTCATCAACTCCCAATGTAATAAGGAGGCAAACAAGTGAAACTATGAAAATTCAAAAAATATGTCGTAAGAAACAGGGGTATCAAGAGGTGAAAAACTTAGGTACTAGTAAGAAATATGTGCGTCGAGAGTGAAAAAAAAAGTGAATAAGACATTCATCTTGATCTGCAAGATGCGTGTTAAAAGGCACTGCCGTTCTCGGCTACAGAACAGCGTCCGCGATGGAAGACGAGCCAGGTGACTGCTTAGCCCTGAGCCGGGGTTGGCGTTTGACCTCGATCACGAGACATCCACCCAAAGAGGTCTCCTCTGGAGGGTCCTGCCCCAGAGGTGACAGGAGTCGGGGGTTCTGCATCTCGTCGAGGAGCACTCTCACGAGGTTCAAGTAGGAGGCTCTTCCGGTAGTAGGTAACCTGGACGTTTCCCTGGTCACCCTCGCGCACGCGGTTGATCTGTGCGGTAATCCAGTCCTGCATCTCGGGGACTTCCATAAGTCTATATGGAATCTGAAAACGCTGCAGCTCGCCGATGATTTTAGCGGTACGTGTGTGTTTATCAAAGTTGACCACAGTCAGGCCGCCAGATCCGTCTTCCTCGCTATCCGTACCAAGGGACATTTGTTTGGTAGCAGGGTTACCAATGTCAACAAAGGTCAAGTCGGTCAAATACATTCCAAGAAAGGGAAGACATGGTGGCACATGGTCATGAAGCCGAGTGCGTAAGACCTTGTTGTTCTGCGCGGGCTCCACAATCCCTTGTAAATGCCGAAGCATCTCCTTCCGCTTGGTAGATACGGCATCCCATGTTTTGCGCAGTCGGCTAATTGTACTGCTATTCAGGGTGCAAATAATAGCCATGAGGCCATCGTAGTTATGAAGTTCAAGACACTGGTGGGCTATCTTGATCCACTGCTTTATAATTGCGGCGCGCTTCTTGATTTCAGAGTGCTGAAGAATGGTTTCAGCAACCAGATTAGAAAGATCCGTTGACAAGGCTGACATAGCCTTCACATTTGGGGCATCAACGCCACCCTTCTTCATCCACTGTGATGACAGTAGCTCTTCCGGCAAAATGGAGCAAAAGATGCTCATTTGTTTGATCGTCAGTTGTCGCGCAACCTCAAGAGGATCGAGGTCAAGCAGACTTGGCCCACTGCCCCCAGTTCGAAAAGCAGTGAGCAGGTGTTGTTGGCTCTTAGAGATTGCAGGGTGAGGAAGAGGAGTATCTGCAGGCACATACTGCGCGATACATGTGTTGGTCTTGCCCATCGATGATACAAGCCGCGGGACGAGGGAGCCTTCTCCAGAGACCCTCTTGGCCAGTTCTAGTAACCGGCGCCCAGCAGATAAGAGAACAGAAGTAAGCTTCAACTCGGCAAAAGGGATAATTAATTTCAAAGCCTCTCGATCAGTTTGGTCTCGCCAATGTGACTCAAGCCACCCCTTGAACGCGTTGTAGACCCTGAGTCTGACTGGACCAGCCATGTGAGGGAACTCGCCAACGTAGTCAAACCGTTCGACCAAAGCCTCCGTGAGCTTTATTGGCGTGCAGAATAAACGGAAAGTGAGAAAGAAGGTCGATACGAAAGTGGCGTCCGGTGTGGATTCATGCGTTGTCAAGCGCTCAACCAGAGCTGGAAGTGAGCCGCCGGTCACTTGGCCCTCTTTGTTAAACATAAGCTCATGAGCAAAAGTCTTCTCCAAGAGCCTCGTTTCCACATCATCATGTTCGTCCGTTTGTGATAAGCTTCCCGTGGCACTCATATCTGACATGGACGGCTGGTTACGAGGTGCTAGGAGGTGGTCCGGAGTCGTTGCACGAGTAGAAGTCTGTGATGCAACGCTCGCCTCCGAGTCCCTGCTGAGATACGTACCGCTGCTTCCCGCGCTTGAGGCAATTAGGGTGTCAAAACGAGCTGCATGCTGTTCCTGTTCTATTTTCGAAGTGTCAATACCCAACTCGCTCTGTTCAAAATGGTTTGGTGCATTGGCGGATTTGAGTGGTGTCGGCAATGCTGGACGAATCGATGAGACTGAAGAAGCAACGCTGGAAGCATTGTCGTCGTGTATGGAAGAAGGTCGAGAAGAAATAGGAGAGCTGCATTGGCGAACTATGTTCTCAGGAATGCTGAGACGGGGAACTCGTGGAAGCGGTTTGTCAGTGGCGGCAGGAGCAACAAGTCGTCGTGGTGCTACAACAGACAATTCGCAGGTCTGAAATGATTCGGCAGTGCTGCTAACCGCGTCTGATCGTTCGGCAACCGAAGGTGTTCTAGCTCGTTCTTCTGCAATATCGAGGATGCTCAAATCAATACCCAGAGAAAAGCCTTCAACCTCAAATTCGAAGTCTCCAACGCGTTCAATAGCGGCCTTCGTTTTAGCAACACATTCACCAGCTACTCTGACACAACCAGTGGCAGCCATAAGCAAGATTCCATTGTCTTGTGGCATGATCAAATCCGCACCTTCTGTCGCAGCGTTGGCCAGCGTATCTCGTGCTGAAATGACAAGAATCTGGATACGCTCAAACATAGCCACGCGAGCCTTGCTCAAAGAGGCCACACTGGAGTTGTTATAGGCACATACATGATCCATCACAGCAAGTAGTTCCCCGCCCGAAGTAGCCGACTGCTTGATGGCGAATGATAACTCTGGTCGTGATTGTGACTGTAGGTGTAGTCTACCGATGAACGAGCCAAGGTGTGAGAGAAATTTGTCATGACTGCGGCTGAGGCGTTCGGATACCAGATGGTGTGGTCGGGATAAAGGGGATGGCCCAGCAAGTGAAACTCTGTGCGCCATTCCTGCAGACAGGCGGTGGCTCTGCAAGCTGCTTTGTGGATTTCCGCTTTGGCCAGAGCTCGTCAAAGGACTGTGGTTGCTTTGTGCGCTGAGAGACGACATGCGCCGAGCCCAGGGCCCGAGCGAGTCGCAGCCGCCTTCAGCGGAATCTGGCGTCGCCAAACTCGTGACACTGTTGCCCTTGTCAGTCGTCGAGGCACGTGAGCCTGTTTCACTGGAAGCATTGTTCAACTTCTGGTCCTCGAAATGGGTTCGATCTGCAGGCGGTGTTGGCGGTATGAATGATTCTTCAGCAACAGTTGCCATGACAGTAACTGATGCTGGTACACGGGACCGTCTATCCTCCTCCAGTGCATCAAGAAATCGGACACCCTTCGTCACAATTTTGAAAGCTCGCAGAATCATTTCGTCAATAATATCATTAGCATCCTCGGGAGGATACAGAGTTCCATTTTGGCTCTCCTGTAACCGTTTGGCCGTTTTCACCAATGATGACAATTCGGACAATAATGACTTGCGTCCTTTACGCAAGGCGTCGCTCCGTTGCACGACACTTGACTCTCTATTCAAACAGCCAGTTCGTTCCTAGATAGTCTCGTTAGTAAAGCGAGAATTTTTCGAAAAGGGGCTCCTCTCAAGGAGCAATCCAGTGTCACACTAAAACGGCCATAGATACAGACACGTACCAGGAGGAACCGCACACCGGCAATGATGCCCTTCATAAACTCTTGATTCCGAAACATTTCGCTATCGTTGATCGAGGTGCTTCGAAGCAAATCCCAGAAATTGAGAAGCGCCTTGAGCAGATTTCGCATGTCCTCCGGCTCATAGGCTTCGCAGTAGTTAGTTGGCAGCCACCCCCTTGCGCCAGATGCCAGTAACGTTCCATCCGCCCATCCATTGGTGTGAACTGAGTGTACTAAGACAACATCTCCTTCATCCAAGGGGAGAGTCACGCTCGAGTCTGATACAGCATAGCTTGGATGGAAGGGATAAAAGGCCCTCAAAAAATTGTGAAAAATTGGCGCGCCAGTAGGCTCTGGAGACAGATCCTCCTGGGAGCCATTCGGAGTGGTTGGGGGAGTCATGTCGCTGTGCGAATAAAGTGTGCCGTGTTGATGTGATTCATACGATCCATGGGACATCTGTTCCGCGTTATAATGCAGCGCCAGTTCATGAGCCATGTGAGTATTGGCTCCTAAAGAGCGCCCACTCAGCATTGTGGCAGTATAAGCTGTGCGGTGAGTTCCGAGAGCATAAAGCTCTGGCAACCGTGCCGTCCAAGATTGCGCAGTATCTGGAAGAACGTTGCTCACGACCCGTTATCCGAGATGAGGTAGCCTGCTACGTACCCAAGGCACGCGAGCCGTGTATCGACGACAATCAAAACGATCAATCGGCAGCAGGTAAAGTCTGTATCTGGTCACTGGTTGAAGATGTCGCAACAGTGTACTGTTCGAACCTGGATATAAGCCAGAGTAGCAGCCCAGTCGAATATTGGTCTGGGCAGACGATGATGATTGAACTCTAGGTTGAGGTTTTCTAAGCTGAATTAGACATGCAGCATTAGCAAACGTACAAGGCGCGCCTGGAATGTTGTGGCAAGAGACGTGAGGCCGCGTCTGGAATGAGGGCAAGCGGAGGCAATCCGTGGTATGCAGTGGAATGTAAAACGCCATGCTACAACCCGACACTCCGGGCGGCTCAAGGATGTTTCGGCTCTGATCCGGAGTCGCGGTTATGAAACTACCGGCGGATATGCCAAAAAGATTGAAGGGTAACATATACATGCAGAGTATGTATATATATATTTGTATGTACCGGCGCCATTGGGAATAATAAAAGAGGGCCAAGTGGTGAGGTGGTGAAAGTGGTGTTTATTGTTCGACTTACCTGGTGCTTGGCAGGATCGCGTTTGAGAAATTTGGCCAAAAAAAATTGTCCTCTTTCGTATGCCGGGTTGACGAAAAAAAAAAATCAACTCTCTCAAGACAGAAGATGCCAAGTAAAGGAGGAATTGGCACTCGGCAAAGCACAACTTCGGGTCAACTTGTCGTGCCAGAGCAGGAAAGAGAAGTCTGGATCGAGAGCTGACGAGCAAGGCAGCTTAGGAGCAGGGGCGACGACGGTACGGAGGTACCAGGCGGGATCAACACAAGACCCTTCTCGCCTGTTTTGGCGGGTCGTGGGGGGAAGCAATTAGCCTGGTTGCTGGTTGCAAGGGAGAAGCCAAGCCGATGGACTGGATGATAGAGAGAGAGTCTGGTATGGAACCTGACTCTAGAGCCAGGGTCACCGCCGTTCAATGTTGCGTCAGCGTCGAGCATCCAATGTCAAAGTGTCAAGTGTCAGGTGTCAAGAGTGTCAAGCGTTTCAAGTCGTGTACTTGCAGGCAAAAATGGAAACGGCCGGCCCAAGAGCAGAAGATGCGAGAAGGGACATCTGGACTTGAAACGGCCCATCTATTATTGTCTGTGTCTCTCAGGAGGGAAGGAAAGGAACCGGACTGTCAACGTCCAAGCAAAAGTTCGAAACACACACAGACATTGATGGTACAACAGACAGACAGGAGGAGGAACAGTTGGTGGATTGATGGCACCGAGGGAATGCCAGGGGAATGCCACAGCCATCTGGCCGCGCCGGTACAATGCCGACATGTAGTCCCGTACCTGCAGGCGCCGCGCCTTCCAGGGTGTCTATACCTACTACCTGGTGGCGTATTATGTGCATGCATGTGCCGCAGGTTTGTACTCTTGGGTCCAAGCACCTGGAGGTCGGTACTTGGCCTCCAGGTACCAAGGTCCGAACTTCTTGGTGGCGCCAACGCCTCAGGCCCGACCGTCTGGGGATCAGTGATGGCAACAAGTTTTGGCTTCGTGCTAGTGCCTGGTGCCTGTTTCTCTCCACGACAAAAAATTTCGAATCTTCCAGTCTCCAGTCCACAGCCAACAGCCACCACCGCCATCGGGAGTGTCCCCAGTGACCCCGTCTGGTGGCAGCCAGCACTGGTGGCCAGCCCTTTCTGCTCGTTGCTCTGCTCGTCGCGAGTGCACTACGCATGCATGCACGTTGCGGAACGGACTCCGTTGATCCTTAGGGCCGTGTGGAGACGACGCCGGCAGAGTCCCGATGGGAAGACGAAGCTTGGTCTCCTTGGAGCTAATATCCAACTGTTCTTAGTGCCATGTGTGACCCGACCGTGTGTGTCTGCAGTGCGGCGTGTCGGCGCACCTCTTGGCCTCTTGGCTACTTTTGTGCCTTCTTGGGCATGGCGGCTGGGGTTCCCAAGCCATGATGAACTTCGCTTGGCCATGTCCACACCCCTGCCGAGAACTCCCCTTACTCCGCTTGTTGGAAATACCCAGGGTGACGACGGCCCAAGCCAGGGGGGAGGGATTGACCAAGTGGTAGCATGGGCAGTGGACATCCATCCCCTGGCCTGGTCAAATGGTCTGCTCTACTAGTCACTCACTTGGTGTCTTTTCAAGTCCACGACCATCCCACGGTGTCCCGCGTTTCTCCCGTTTTCTTTTCTGATATTTATACGCACAAGATTGCGCCGTGCGAAAGCACGTATTGGGGGGTATGGGCGTGAAAGAGGGGGGAGCGCAATACTAGTCGACGAATTTCAACGTCTTATTCTGAAAAAGAACTTGACGCGCCAGGCCGCCATCAAATCGCCTCCTTAACTCGTCCCGGCTGTCAGGTGGCACGCGACGACCATCTTTGTTTCTACGACGCCAACCGTCGCGGAAGCGCGCGGATACCTACTGACCCGTGTGTGAAAGTCAAAGCAACGTTTCGATACACAAATCACCAATGCCTGACAAAAGGCTCGTAGCTCATGTCATCACACGGCAAAATCAATTCGGGTTTCTGGGGTCGTTGATGGTAGCAAAGGGCCAAAAGGCCGGTCGGCCGCTCAACGCATGGATAATTGTACATACATACATATGTACACGATGGAGCAGCAGCAGCACCAACATGGTCAGGGAGACGAACTCTTCAGTGGGCCTTCGAGTAACACCCAGGTTGTCAGGTCAGGGAACAAGGAACCAAGGACGTGTTCAGAGTTTGATAGCGTAGGCACAGGGTTTTGCCAGCGGCGCTATCATCGATCGACCCATTCCATTTTGGCACATGTTCGTACGGTATATGCACCATAAACATTGCACAAAATATGATTGTACAATAAACAAGCTAACATGAGCATCTGCAGACGGCCCGGTCCAAATCATGTTACGAAGATAATGCATGAAGAAAAGCCCAATTCATTGACGACTCATCAAGCATCCTGTTTATTCACCTTCTGCCCTTTTGATTTCATTCCTGGTTACAACATGTGCCGCGCGCACACTCAGTCGCACTGCAAACAAATCTACGCCAGCAAGACGAGCTCAGGGTGGGAGAGCAGACATGCTGTCGTCGTTTCGCCGTCAGACGGCGCATGAAAATTCAGTTGATTGGGATACTTACTGGTGTATCTACAGAGTACGGAGCGCTATATTCTGTTCACACTCTTTTCCTCCTTCGTTTCTATATTGTAGTACAATATTATGAAACGAGCCTCAGCCTTGGCTATGATGCCACTAAAAGGCTAAAGTAGTGTTGGCTAGCTCCAACGAATCATGGAACCAACCCATCAGGCCTCTTGGACCAGGGCCGGCCGGTTCGACCGTTGACCATAGCTTCTGGCGCGTCGATTTCAAGTCTGGAGGACGAACTGCCGTGGTTACAATGCCCCATACGGGAAATAAAGGCTATAATATCACTCCTGGTCGGGGCCGACCGTCGCACAGGCGGACAGGGAGTAAGATGGTGTTATGAAGAGGCCAAACGCCCGAGTTCATAGTACGGAATGCTCCGGAGTAATATTCAACATATGTACGGAGTACCTACCTAGGTACTACATACAATCCTCCGTACCATTCTTCCGAATGTAATACAGACTGCGGGTGACGGGATGCAATGTGCATGTGGTATCACCGTGTTAGAACCCCGATACTAACAGATGCGTGGTTGAGCATAGAACTGCACGCAAAGTGTTTCATCCCAACTTGTCAGATCGCGTGGGCCAACAGATGCATAATTACGTCTATTCCGTCGCACCAAATATCATCTACGGAGAACCCAGCAATGCATTCGAGGGGGCGGCGGGTGCTGGTGCCGACTAAGCTACCATGGACATTTTGGATCGCCGTCTTGCCCTTGGTCAGCGTAACGACAAGACAAAAAAAATAAAATAATACAGTAAATAAATTAAAAAGCAGTAACAGGACACCAAAAATAAGGTTGGTTTACGATTCTTTTTACACACAAACACGCATACATCTCTCACATACGTACTACTACTACAACAATATCCGCGATACATACATGCACCTAGTACCCGTTTGGCTGGGAGTTGTACTCCGTACTCCGTACGTACATATGTATGTACCATGTACGGTCCGTCGTCCACACTCTCTCATCACGCTTCATGCAACTCCAAACTGGTGGCTTGCCGGCAGATAACGTTGGCCATGACGGGTCACCCGTGCATGGAGGCGGCTGCAGCCAAGTTTGGTGCGGCTTAAACAGGCATGGAACCGACGCAATCATCATTGGCCTCGGGAGCTGGTCATGTCCACTTGGAGCTCGTTTTCCGTTGGGTTCGGAACCTGAGGCGAGAAATTGCAAGTCTCGGAACCAAGCTAAACCTGGCACTGCGAGTCCATAGCTCCTGCTCGATGCGTTGCCAAATCAAGCAACTACATGCAGGCGCACAGACAACAAGAAGGCAGGACGTGGGATGAATCCAATCAATGAGACAGCACTAGAGTTCACAACATGTATGTATGTATGTAATAGTATGTACATGTAAAATTTCATTAGTACATACACACATGGCCCTGGCAGAAACGAGTGACTACTTAACTTAAGTAAAGTATGTATGTACTCACGTATCAACCATGGAAGCCCAGGATAGGCTCATTCGCTTGTCTTCCATGCCATGTGCGGAGTAGAACATTTATCATCAGCTTTGGGATCTACATGTGCCTTGCAGATTGACGAAACGCCTCGACAGGCCCACAGCACCTTGTGCCAC